AGAGAGAGAGAGAGAAGGAAAAATGTTTAAATATAAATTCTCTAGTACTATAATTGAATGAAAACATCTATCTAATTTGGCGTATCCTCGAACGTCAAATGAGATTATCCTTTAGAAAATTAAAACAGGAGCATAGAAAAAGAAAAAAAAGAATACCTTTCGATATAGATACCTTGCTCGCATCTATGTCAGATAATATCGCGGATTATTCTTGCAATGCTTCGTGAAAATACATGAAAAATATATGCACGATACTTTATTATCATACTCATGGCCTACGCTTCGAATTTGCTTGCCTTTCGGTTATTGAGTTGCCTTATATTATATTTACGTTTAATCTTGCTATTAAATAACGTATATCGTCGCTAGTCCGACTAGCCGATTTCGCTAGTCTTCACTAAGCCAACCCGTCCATGTACAACGCCTTTCTCGTGTTGTTCAAAGCGAAAAGAAACAAAAAAAAGAAAATTAACGAAGGAGTAAAAACGCTTATGATAACAAAATATGGACAAAAAACAATAGAAAAAAAAAAAAATAATTCGTCTGAGAGATGCAAGTCCGACCAACGTTACGGCGATATATATTTGTAAACATTTTTTGAAGATGAAAAAAAATAGGTGAAGACGATGGTATCGAAAAAAAAAATAGATCTTACAGTGACTTCGCATAACTCGCCACTTGGCAGTTCATTTTAGTTTTAGGATGATTGTATATCTATCCATGCACTACAGCGCTTGATAGGTCAGCAAACACTTGAGTCACATTTTTTGACGATGAACTGCACACATATATACAAATTCTAAAAAAAAAAGAAAAAAAATGACTTCTTGTTGTTATTCGAATCATTGGAAATCCCCGGACAAAACGTAAGATTGAAAACCTTGTTAAGAAAATATCGGATACCGTATTTCCGATTTGAGTAGCAACAAGAAATAAATGTTTTTATGAATCGTAATGTAAATTTAACTTATTTAAAAGAATATTTCCTAACAATTTTTAATTGTATATATGATAATTTCTTAGCGTAACTTATATAAATGTACTATTATACGATTGTAATAATTGCAAGATTAAAACATGAATATTTTATTTATATAGCAGAATCATTGGACGAATGTTATACGCATAAATCATAAAATCAGAAGGAATGTTAATCGGCGATCTATCCTTCGTAAAATCATGTAAATTATTATAATTATTGTAAAAGAGAAAAAGAAAAGGTAAAATGGCATGACGATTATAGAAAAAAAGAAATGTGTTGTTTAAACTTTTACGACTCGCGAAACACGTCTTAATATTTAAGCAGCGTTAGCTTTCAATGTATAACAGTTTTAAAGGCACAGAAAGGAATCGTATATAGTATGTATTTAAAAGGAAAAATATATATATATACATATACATAAATATACATATATAATAAATAAGGTATTCTATTAATGTATAATATATTGAGAAGATATAATTATGCATCTGAAGTTTATAAATTATTATCTATAATGACTGTTATTCTATGTTTAATAGACTTGCCTAGAGCCTATCTGACCTAAGGACCAAAGGCACAATCATACACGCATCAAAATAAAACATTATGCTCCTATGTATTGTCGTAACATTTATTGTAACTTATTACGGACGTTGCGATACTGGCATTTAAATATTCCGACTGTTACAATACATTATTTGTATTACAAAACAAGAAACTATTTTCCCTTTTACACGAGACCGCAAATTGATGTAACACGACGAAACTATTATTGACAGACTTTTTTTATTCACTGTCATTTTTCTGCAATATACTAGTACAATTTTTTACTAATATCTACACTCTATTGAGTACATTGATAAAAAATATTAAATATGCAAATCATCTTCTAAACGTCGACCACGTAACTTCACTGGCTAATTTATTGTCTATTGATGATTTGTCTAATAAAAATACAAATGAATTAAATTTATATAAATATAATTAACTTTTATTCTTCTATTTTTTAATATAGACATTTAATATTAATTATTTTTATTTTATATTAAAAAACATTTTTAAAAGTATTTAAATTACAAATCTTATTTATAATTTCCTAAAAATTGTACATAAACAAAAACTTTATTTTTGTTTTCTTGAAAAAATTAAATTATATTAATATAAATGTTACATAAATATATATGTACAATTCTAATAATAATTATTATATATAATGCGCATAAGGTAATAACAAAATTCTTAATTGGAAAAATTTTTGTATTATTTTCTTATTCTATAGAATATTTGTTGTTCGTCTATATAATGAATAAAATTTTTTATAAATTATAAAATCATAATTTTTTATATTGATATTTTCAGTAAGCCAGTAATGTTACGCTATAAAAAATATATATACATTTTGTATTATTGCCTAAGCTTAATATCTACCATATTCTTAAAACAATGATATGGTAGGATAAATCTATTTCAATTCTCAAAAACTTGAATACAAATGAAATATTTTAAATGTTTTAAATATTAATACGTTTATTTAATTCTAACTTTTACTAATATTTCTGAAATGTAGTAGTTAACTCTTCTAATGTAATATATAAGGATCATTATAGAATTTGACTTAAATTTATGAGATAAACGTTGGCACTGTGACTAAAGTTTATAATAGACTCGCTTTAATATCTCATAATTATTCTGTTACTACGATTTCGCAAAAAAATTATTATTTATTAAATAAAATATCTAAAGAGAGAAATTTGATGTCGTTTCATATACATGCGTTTAAATAAAAAATGTATTTAACATTCAGTATCGCATCAGTGCGCTTCTAGCTCTAAACATAATTTTGTACACTTCATGGTTTTGGTTTTGTGAATAACATGTAAGTACAAGCTATAGCTATTCTAATTTTTCTCCGCTTGATCTTCTCCGTAATTATTATGATGTTATATTAAAATTATAAAATCATTGTATGGCGTATGATATTAAAGAGTAACAAAAATGGAAAAAAGGTATGATTTTATCATATACTATTGTGTGATAGAGTTATCAACGACGATGTAATAAATTAACTGTTGCAACACAATCCTTGATGTATTTACAAAAATATAAATCAAAAATATGAAAATATATCCAATTCTGATTATCATGTTATAATTTTTGAAAATGTATAAATCACATTGATTACATAAAGTTTTATAATTTATCACATTTTTAAGTTCTTAAATATATTTTTAGTTCAATTATATATTTTAACTTAAATATAATTTTACATACAAGTATTTATATATTATATATTATAAAATTACTTAAAAATTAAATATATATGTATAAGATATATAAAATATTATAATAATAAACTATCCCGATATTGATCTGAATTATCTAATAGATAAAAGGTGATCATATACATTTTACATATTCAAATAAACAAATTAAATTTATTATTTTATATATTTTTATTCGTTGTTAACAGTTGACATTAATTTCATTTACATATTGGAATTAATATTTTATACAGCAGTTAACACGATTTGAATATTCTGACAATTTTTTTAATACAAAGTATAGAAGAATGAAATAATATTTATAAGTAATTTGATACATAACAAATAATATTTTTTTAAAATAAATATAACTCTTAGAAAGCAATTCATCTGTTACAGGATTTACTGTTTTGTTTTTAACAAATATTTTTCAGTAAAATTTTGTATTAATATTAATAGTTATATATTGCTTTTATCATTCACAATGATTTCGATCTTAAAATTACATCCAAGTATTTTTAAACATAATTACATAAACAATTCTTCAGAAGTTATGTATCTATATAACATATGGAGTCAATGAAATGCTTTGACACATATAGAATTGCAGTGATATATGGTGTTCACTATTTTCCCTGTTCAAAATTGTAATAACAATACATATACTTAATTGTCACTATTAAAAAAAAATTATAAAAAAAATTTTCTATAAGAAAAATATATTATACATAAATACATAATTATTTATAACTCAATTTAGCTAGATAATATAATTATTCTAATATTGAATTTTAATACAGATCTTTAAATTTAAATTAATTTAAAGAAAAACAATTATAATCAAATATCTGTTCAAAATGAAATTTCGAAGTCATATAAAATTAAAAGACAGGCTTTTCATAGTGAATACCATAAATCTAATGACAATTACAGATCCTAAAAATTCAGGATCTAATTTTAAATTGTAACACAATATTACACAGACAAGTGAAAATTTATTTATAGATACAGAAAATTGACTACTTATTTCAAAAAATTTCAATATCTTAATTACACAACAAATGATAGTATCTTGTAAAACAAATAGATGTCTTCATGCACTCTTGTACCATATCTTTAAAGTATATTTATACTGAAGATCATCAGATCTATAAAGTTAAAAACATTATTTTATTTACAAATAGTCTTATAATTATAGAATACAAAAAAATAAGAACATATTAAATTTCTTATTTTTAAATAATAATATTTTATAAATTTTATTAAAAATATTTAAATCTTAAATACTCACATTGTCAACATCATCTTCATCATCATCGCTAATTTCATCACCAAATTCAATATCTTCATCAAAACCATCTTCCACAAAGGTGACAGTATCATTAATGCGAACTGAAAATATAAAAATTATAAATATTTGACAGTTTGAATATACTTTTATTTCATTTCAATAATTAAAATGCTTACCAGTTTCTGGGAATTCACCATATGTTTTCAAATTACGAGCTTCATCTGATGTATATTTTAATATGACATCTGCTTTTGCATCCTGATAATCTCGCAAACCAATTAATATTATATCCCCTTGATTAATCCATACTTTTTTCCGTAATTTTCCACGAATGTGACACAATCTTTTTACACCATCAAAGCACATTGCTTCTAACCTTCCATTACCAAGCATTTTTGTAACTTGTGCATATTCTATATAAAATAAAAGATATGTTTATATAATACGTATTAGATTTTTTCTAAATTCATGAAATATTATTTTATCTGTTTAAAGTGCTATTTTTTTTATTAATATTAATCATGAATAATTAATAAATTATATTTAATAAATAACAAAAATTAAAAAATTTAGATGTCAAAATATTAAACACTATGATAAATATACTACTAAAATTTTACCTTGTCCATCTTCCTTAAAAACTAATTCTCTTTTTTCAGTTTCATTTTCGTTTTTTCCCCTTCTTCTATTTTTACCTCCTTTTCCTAAAAAAAAATAATTTAAAGATTAATATTCCACTTTTTTTTTGTAAATAAAAAAAAATTTAATTTCTATCGTGATATATTTAACAATATCAAAGAAAAATTTGACACTAATAGGTTAAAACAAACTAACCACATTGCAGAGAAATTTTACGATTGCCTATACATAAATCTATAAAATTTGCAAACACAAGGAAAATATAAAAAAATATAGTTAATTACAAACCTTTATTTTTCGGCATGTTGATTTATTAAAAAGTGCTTATTCAGTAAATATATAATAAATTTAAACAATAAGAAAGATCAAGATATTCAATGTTCTGGTTTTTCACCACTAAACACCTCATGGGAAAGACATGGACTACTCAAAAATGTCAAATATATGGAACTTAAAACAATTTTTTTCATTTATAATTTAAATGAATAAATTTTTTATTACAAAAATTACTTTCAAAATTTTTATAATATTTTGATTATAACATGAAATCCGAAGTTCATTAAAATTTAGATATTTCATTGACTAATTTATACTTCGTTGTGATCACGCGGCAAGAACAGGTATAGATAAAGGAAGTAAATTGTAGAAAGACAAAGATAGGGTAAAAATTCGAGTATCAACGCCATCTTCTGAATATTATAAATGAAACTAATAATATATAGATAAGAAAATCAAATAGTAAAAGAATAAAAATTGACACTCAATGCCATCTTGAATATCAAAGATATTTTCTTAAGAATATTCACTATTCAAAAATGATTAATGATTATAAATAATGGCTCATTTATCCATATCCCCATTTTATGATTGCTTTCCATGATTGATTTCGAATATTACATTGTTATATAAATAAATTGAAACTTTGGGATTCAAATGCGAGATCAAAATTAATTTTTTTGATATTTATATATTTTCATGTATTTTTTATATACATAAATTTTAATATTATATATATTATATACATAAAGGTTTAAAGAATTTATATATTTTTGTATTTTTTTCTATACTTTTTGAAAATAATAACTCAAAGAATTGAATTTACAAAAAATAAATATAACAGATATGTCAAATTTCATAATTAGTATTAATGGTATATAAAATGGTATAATATATTTAGTTATATATAATATTAATAATATTAATGCATAATTAATTCTTCTAAATTAATAATTTTTCGATTTTTATAATTCAAGATTGAATATTTTCCAAAATAATATCAGTAAGTATTAAAAAAAATGTAACATATTAACATTTAAAATATATATCTTATTTTTTATCATATTAATATAATAATAATACAATTTTATTTTTAATAAATTAAAAAAATTAATAAAAAAACGTTAAAGTAAAATAAATTTTTTCATCTATATTTCTATATAGAAATTAAATTAGGGGAGATAGCAAATAATTAAAATGTTTCAATAATTTACTATTTTAAATAATTATTTTATTTTATCATTTAACAATGATATTGTATATATGTGTATATATACATGTATATGTATATACAACAATATACATTTATATATATGTATGAATATACATTTATACATATGTATGTATATACATATGTATATTTTGGTATGCTGTATTTATTGAGGTATTTGTTATTATAATAACAATAATACTGTAGCTACTGATATATTTTTAAATTGTTACGCTTTCAATGATTTTACTATGTATATCATACATTGTTATACAATATTAATTATATACTGAATTTCCAAAATCTAAATTTATCAAATATTTTGAATCCTTTATAATCCAGTGTATATTTATTCGACCGTCCTAAAAAAAAAATACATATTACGAAATTATTTTTTATTACATTTAAAAAACAAAACAAAAAAAAATATTTAAAAATATATGTATATTATTAGTATTGCCAACACTTTACAATAATTATACTTACATTATACACACAACAAATTTAAAGGATTATATTTTTATATTTACATTCAAAAATGGGAAGAAGAAAAGAACTGAATATTTTCTCTGAAAATATTTTTATATGATCAAATAATTCTATAAAATTTCTTGCTAAAAAAATTTTTTGCTAGTTGGATTATTGAGAATTTGATTGTTTGGAAAATAATTTAGCATTTTAAATTTTCAATCTAATAAAATAACATTACTTAAATCAAATTATTAATTATTGCATAATTTTTTTTTCAAAATATAAATTTAAATATTAATAAATTTTTAGCAAAAATTTAATAATTTAATTTTTTTGCCAAATATATCTCAATTTTTTATAATTTATTAAAAATTCAAAAATTTTTCTATTTTATTAAGAAAATAAAATATTTTTACACTAATTAAAAATAAATGACCATATTTTGTAAGAAGAATTTTATTTTTATAAAAAATAAATGTGCAATAACAAAAAAAGCACAGACAACACAAAAACTTATTAACAAAATCAAATATATAAAAGTTAATTGTAATTAAACATAAATTATATCCTACTATTTCACTAAATTTTATATTATTTAACACAATAAATTTTATAAAGCAAAAGATAGCAAGTCAACAAATAATGTTAATGCAGCAACAATAACATGCAGAAGTTATAATATATTACATATTATATACTCATATATTCATAACTATCTGTATCGCTAGCTCGTATAGAAGGATCAGTTTGTTCTTCAGGAATTTCAATATCTACATACACAATACGAAGGGAGTTCGTAAATCCGGCGCCTTTTCTCCATCCAGTGACTACTATAACTGCATCTCCAGGTTTAATGAAACCTTGATTTTTGCCAAATTTCATACCAAACTGAACACGTACATCAACATCTTTTACCCAATCAGCTAATCGTGGTTCTATATATAAAAAACAAGTAAATTATAATTTCTTTATATATTAAATTATTATACATTAATATATGCACAATATACATACTATTTATTAAACATTTATTTGAAATAAAAAATATATTTAACTATATCTATTTAATTTAAATATCTAAATATTTAAATTTTAATTTAATTTTATATATTTATAATTTTTGTTACATATAATGTAATTTTAATGTAATTTTAATTATAATATAATTTTTACTACCTTCAAAGTGAAGTGGCAAAATCCCACGATAAAGATGTGATTGTCGTGCAGTCTGTGAGTGTCTAGTAACTGTAATAATTGGGCAACGTGGTCTGTATTTAGAAATTAAAAACGCGGAATGACCAGTAGTTGTAATTACTATAATAGCACTAGCTAAACATTTCACAGATGCTTCTACAACAGCAATTGCAACGGCATGTGTAGCATCAATTGGAGGTATTGCTTTCATTGAAAGCTCATGAAATAATTGTGTTTGCCAGATTGCAGACTCTGCTTCTTTACAAATATTAGCCATTGTGAGTACACATTCCAATGGATAATCTCCTTTGGCAGTTTCTCCTTAATACGTTAAAGTAAATAATAATTATTATATTCACATATAAACATTAATATATAAAAAAATTCATATTTTTCATTCACATCGCATTGTTGTTTATATATTTTTTACTATTAATTAATAATATAGTAATTAAGTAATTTATATACCTGATAACATAACACAATCTGCACCATCAAGAATAGCATTAGCTACGTCCGATGATTCAGCTCTAGTTGCACGTGGTTTTTTCACCATAGATTCAAGCATTTGCGTAGCACAAATTATTGGTTTTCCAACTTTATTACATTTACTAATAGCAGATTTTTGAGCTAAGAATACTTTCTCTGGTGGTATTTCAATACCAAGATCACCACGTGCTACCATAATACCATCAGAAACATCAATAATTTCATCAATATTTACGACGCCTTGATGATTTTCAATTTTAGATATTACTTTAATATTTTTTCCTTTTTCACCAAGAATTGTTCGAATTTCTGTCAAAGCGTGAGCATCTCGTATAAACGAGGCAAAAATCATGTCAACTTCATGTTCAACACCGAATATTAAATCAGATTTATCTTTTTCAGAAACAGCAGGTAAATCTACAGGAGTACCTGGTAGATTAACACCTTTACGAGAACCCAACATTCCACCATTTTCAACAATGGTTACAACTAGTTCAGGATCTAAAATATACAAAACATGGAAAAGATTAATTGTTAAGTACAGTTTTTTATAAATAATATTTAATTAATATTTAATCAATTAAAACTTTAATAACGCAATAAAATTTAATGAATATATTTTTTTATTTTTAAATGAAAAGAATATAAAGGCTATACATACGGATCGCGGTAACTTTAAGACAAATTAAACCATCATCGATAAAAACGCGACTATTAGGCTTCAACACTTTAGTAATGTTCTCATAATCTACATAAACAATATTTGCAGTGCCTTTTTCTGCATATGCTTTATCAGTAGACAATTTAAAAAGTTGATCTTTTTTTAATTCAACTTCAGCAGCTCCACCCTAAAAAAAATACAAAACAATAAATATTACATATTAATTATATAATATATTTATAGGATGAATAAAAAAATCTTTAAAAACTTCTCAATAAATTTAAAAATATATATATATACATATATATATATAAAAATTAGAAATAGAATAAATTACATACACCTTCCAAAAGTCCTGTACGAATTTCAGGACCTTTAGTATCAAGAGCAATTCCTATAGGAATGCTTAGACCAGCCTTTGCAGAAGCGTTTTTCTGTGCTTGTCGCACATTAGCAATAGTTTCAGCATGATATTCGTGAGTTCCATGCGAGAAATTTAATCTAGCAATGTTCATACCCGTATCGATCATTTTTTCGAGCATATCAATAGATCTCGAAGCTGGTCCAATTGTACAAATAATTCCTGAAAGACGGACAGCCCCTACAGGAGCATCGATATCCAGGGCACATACATGATCTAATTGGGTTTGAGCATATAATGCTTGAGAGACTATTTTTCCGGAAACCATCTAGAAATAAAATGTATGATGAAATTGCATTTTATACATAGAAATTATTTCACAATTGTTAAAAACAAATGAAACACATTCGATGCTTCAAAAAATATCATTTTATGTAATATTTAAATAAAAATCATATGCAAAATAATTTAAAAAGCGCAATATTATTTCTTAAATGGCAAACAAAATTTAATATACAAGATGACTCATTTACATACAGTTTACATACAACACTTTACATACAATAAGCTAACATATAACAATTAATTAAAATTGAATGTTCAAGTGATATTCTGTATAGGTAAATTTATTTTTAGTAGAAAATTTTGAAAAAATATATGAAATTGTGAAAAAAAAAATTATTGTTTAATATCGAAAAATATTTTTTGATATTTTTATTAATACAAAAAGCTGAATAATGAAACAAATAACAAAATTAGAATAATGAAACAAATAACAAAATTAGAATAATGAAACAAATAACAAAAATATTTTACAAAATATTTTAGATTGGATAGACTAATTCTATATTATTATTCTATATTATATACATATATATATATCTTTATTATATATTATTATATACTATTGATCTGTGTTCTATTTAGATATGCATTAATATGAGAGTAAAAAATGAAATAAATTTATATGCATCTTTAAAATTTTTAATTTTAGATATATCACAAAATAATGACTGATGGTAATGACTGATTATTTGTTTTAAGAAAATAAAAAAAAAATTGTATAGCAGAAAAATTTCTAATAATCTATAATCTATATCAAATAATAAACTTAATATAAAAAAAATTAAAATATAGTTTTTCAGGACCGAACATAAAAATTACTTACTTTTGAAAATATAAATTTACAAATACATACTTATTCCAGAAGAATGTAACTTAGAGGATTATAAAAAAAGAGATCAATAGTTCAAGCGTTAAACGTAATCGTTTTTTCAAATTCTTCTTATATCACATTATATAAATATGAATCGATAATTTGGCATATTTAATAATCCGAATTATTATAATTTTGATATAATGATACAAAGTTTAAAAAGAATAATATATAATTAATTATATTGTAAAGTAATAATTGATTTTCTCAATATTGTAAAGAAGAAAATTTAATAGCAATTATTAAATTTTGCAAATTTAGATTTGTTAATATTTTTTTTATTTTTTCAAATCTATTAAAGATATTAAGAAGAATTTGTCTATGATTATACAATTATTATACATCCATTTTGATAAATAATGATTCATGTTGTGCTATTTCGGGTTATTTGTTACTTTAATAATATAATTTCATAAACAAATGCAAAACAATATTAGTAAGAATACATTAATCAATCGACAGTAATGTAAATAACATAATTAAATAATAATAATAATAACTGTAATTTGTATTATCAGTATTTACGAATCATATCTACAAATTAATATTTACAAAACGAATCATTAATAAAATAATTTTTTAAATACTTTTCACATTTAAAAGATAAATGAAATATTGGAACTTTCAACTTGAAATTTGAATATAACATGCTTGTCTACTACTACATTTTTTACATGCTTTATTTTATATTATAATTCTTGCACCAGAAATATATAAGTTTTTTTCATAATATTATTTATCTGGCTTTATTTTGTACAACGATCTAATGTAATCAAACAATGATGCACGTGCAATAAAAAATGAAAAATTAAGAAAAAAAAAATTACAGCAACACACAATAAAACTATTGAAAGAAAAACTTGTCTTTTAAGATGAATACCTTATCATAGACGGTAACCCATACCATTTTGGCAGGCTGCACAAATAAAGAGACTGGAATTAATTGTAGTACGGCATTAATGATACCGCAACTATGATTGACTGCATTCTTCGATATAAAAGATGTAAATTGTTTATCGGGCAAGTGATAAGAATGTCGCGACGATCGAAAATTCATGATAATATTGAAAATGTTCAATGGACGTAGTAGACGATGGCAGTGGCGTGCACAAATTTCAAATGCTGGCATTCTAATTAATTTGTTTAAAGAAATTACACATTAGATATTATACACAAATATATCTTATATATAAAAAGATTTTTTTATTTTATCGAATTTTGTTAATACAAAAATAATAAAACATATTTATGAAGATGGAATATTATAAAAAATTTTTATAAAATTTTAGTACAATATTTGATATTAATCTTTATATAAACTATTCAAAATACAATATTTATAAATCATATGATGAATATAAATATAAATATAAATACAATATAATAATAGGAATTAAATATAGAAATATAATCGAATGTACAATATATTATAAATTATTATATAATTTGCTTATATTTTATCAATATTTTAAATATTAAATAAAAATTAATTTATAATTAAATAATAAATTAATGTAAATAATAAAATAAATAATACATTAATGAAATAATATAATTTGTTTATATTTTATCAATATTGTAATTTTAAATCAAATAATAAATTAGTAATAAATTAATAAGTAATATAAGTAAGAATAAAACATTAATAACCTGAAAAATCAGCGTATAAAAATGTACAAAATGTATATATATCCAAAATTCATGTAAAAAATTTACAAAACATATATGTATTATAAATCTGCACTAATTACCGCCATCGTCTGATATTTAAACTTTAATTGAATTTAAATGAAATAATTTTAAATTATGAGATATTATATGTTATCTATCATTTTCAAATTTAAATATTTTATTAAATTTTATTTTCCTCAAAATTAAAATATTTAAAATATTATGAAGATAGTAACAAAATGAAAACTATCGCCTTCATATGTTTTTATATGAATTATAATTAAAATGAACAAGAATTCAATTTGAATAATTGTTGTAATAATTTGAATATAATTAAAACCATAAATCAGGATTGTTCAAAGATTAATTATACATTAAATAAATTTTTTATAAATTCCTATACATGATAAAACATTAACGAAATTTGTAATTTTTTTAAATATTAAATAATTCAACAAGAATATAATTTTAAAAATAATTTTATAGAATATTAAAAAATAGTTAACTGTTATATTATATATAACAATGTTATATATAATATGTTATGTTGTTAATGTTATATTACATATAACAATTAATATAATATAAACATTTTTTTGTATTTTAATAAAATATAAAATTATTAAATACATAAATTTTGAAGTAATTCTTATATCTAATCAATTTTTATCAATAAAATTAGATTTAATTTAGAATAACAGGATTAATATGAGCGAAATGATAAAATCATCACATGTTGTACATAGATATTATAAATCATATTGTACATTGACACAATAATTTTATTATGTGATATGATATATGATATTACAAAGGTAATATCATTTCTTTAACAAATTCCGAATTTAACAACTGAAACGACTGGCGATGCGAACTATTATACAATCATATATTATACAATCATGACGTAAAACCATCGTATAATATTATGATTTATTAGATTATATATTTTATGCATTATTCTTTCTTTTTCGAATAGAAAGAATTTTAAAATATATCGTATGATAATCTTTATCGAAAGGTTATAGAGCATTATATATTAATATGTAATATTAGTTATAATCTAAAATTTTAATGATATTTCATGTTTAATGTTATTTTATATATGTAATTATATATGTATTATATGTATGTAATACATGTATATAAAAACAAAGTATTATGTTAACAGTTCAAGAAATTAATATTATATAATTTTATTATATTAGCAAATTTTTTTCATTAAAAAAATTATTTTTGAAGCATTATATTGATATATTTTTTATTATATTTTTTCTAAAATAAACTTACAAAATAAGTTAACATTAGATTATTTTACATTTCTTAATATCATTTTTTTTTAAATAGAAAAATTAATTAATTAAAAATGAACAATATTATAAATTTATTTTGAAATATGCATGTACAGTTTTTTTAAAGAAAATGAAACTTTAATTTTATATATATATATATTAATTATTATTTGCATTATTCTATCTATTATACTTTTATTAATTTATTAAATAAAAATAATAATAATTTGAATTAATATTATATAAAATCAAAAATTTATTGTATAATTCATATATGAATTTTTATATTGTAATAATATGAAATATTTTTGCATAGTATATATTTATATGTGTATGTATATATATATACATATGTATGTATATAGCATATATCAATTTATAAAAAATAAAAATGTAGTTTAATTTTGCTTTTATAATCACAATATATAAATATTTGAGAAATAATAGATATACATAAAAAAAAACAGTAGTGAATTTCATGATGTCTTAAATATAAATTATAAAAAATTAATGAATATGTATTAAAATCCATAATCGTGAAATAAAATCATTTCAAATATATTCCAAAATTATTTTATGTATAAATATAATATTTTATACTTGTATTAAATTCAAAATTTCATATTTATTAAAAATATATATATATAAACTCATGAAAAAAATTAATATGTATAAATTTTTATAAAAATTATGTGTATAATAAATATAAATAAATATGGTTAAAAAAAATAATTATATTCAAATTTCTCAATGTTATTTTAAATTATATTTAATACAAATATAAAACAAGATATAACGATATTAATAAGTATTAAAGAAAATAGGAAAGATAAATCATTGTTAAATCTTATTTAATTTTTAGAAAACAATTTAAAGCACGCATATTATTTCAAGGTCAAAACGATATTCGTTTTATGTATATTTCTTACATTTCTTATATATTCATGAATAAGAAGATTTTATGTTATAATGTATACATATAATTAAAATTCAAATGAAATTTCGTTTAAACAAAAAAATGTTGAAATTTCTATAGTTACGATAGTGAAAAATTTTCAGAACTACAAAATTCTCTTAAGATTATAATCGTTAAAGAATAATAGCATGATTTTATATATTATTTACCATGTTATATAGTTTATTTTAACTATTACCTTGTCAAAATACTTGAAAAATCAAATTTAATGAGAAGATAGTCAACGAATAGAGCAGGCACTGAAATTCTCAAACTTATACGTTCACACTTCAACAGAAACTGAGGTTTTAAGGACATGAAAGGTCACTACTTTCCAATGCGTTTGAATCTCTTGGCTAGTTTTCAACGCAAAACAGATAATATTCTACTACCAACTTTTATTTTAAAAATTAAATCTGATTGATTGAAATAAATTTAATATAATTATTTTAAAATAAATAAAATACAATATTGTTAAATAAAGATGAAAAAAAATGTTAAATACAATTTATTTTTATCAATACATCAATTACATTATTTACTTAAAATAATTAAAATAACTAAGTAGAAAAGGAACTAGAATAAAATATGTAATAATATTACAGATATTTTTTTATAATTAAGATACAAATTAGTCAAAATATACAAAATATTTTTTACAAAATGAACTTTTGTTAAGTAATGTAGAAAATTTTAATAAAATATGTCAATTTTCAATAATCTTTAATAATCAAATGCTGAGTATTTAAAATATTTTCTGTTTTTTGATTTTTATTATTGATTTTGTTATTTTAATTTTTTTTTTATTAGGATAATATTTATATTTTATATATACAAATGATTTATATATCGATAGCTTAATATATATATTATTTATATAACAGCAAATACAATAGATATTATCCTTAAATATCTTGTAACTAAATAATTCAAATGTTGAATACATTAAATATAGTACTTAGTTTATCATGTTATTCAATATTTTTTTATTATTTTTCATAATTTTTGTTAAAATTATCTATATATACTATGCCAAGTGAAATAAATGAATTTAATGATGAACCGCTTTCAATATCTTATAACGAAAATGTTGAAAGGTAAATATTAATATAGGTTAGCAGATTTGTTTTGAAATATATAATTAATCTAATACAATTATATTTGTATGTTTAATATATATACATTATCTTTCATATAGTAGTATTTTATGTATTATATATAATAATAATATTAAACAATTAAACGATTAACAAATAATATATTTCTATTATTTTATATATGCATGTTTCATGTTTATAGTTATTTCTATATTTAACTAATTTTTTTTAATTATATATATGTATATATATATATATATATATATTTCAGAATTACAGGTATTAACCATAAAGAATTTGGAATTCCTTTCCATATCCTAAAACATAGACAACAATTTTGGGATGAATTGTTTTATAGATATTCAGAACAAGTATAAATTTTATTTTAATTTATTTTATTTTATTTTAATATATATATTTATTTATATATAATATCTTAATATATATAATCTTTTTTGATCCCTAATATAGTAAAAATATATTTATAATTGTTTATAATTTGTTTCAGTCATCTGATGAAACTGTATTGAATATTTCATCATTAAAACCTGTTGAGAATGAATCTATATTAATAGATCAAATTTATAGAAATGAATATAAACCATTCAATGTAATACAATATTGGATAAATACTAGTTATTTACCTTATAAAAAACTTTATATAGATAAAGATACACAGTCTGGTATTGAATTATCTCATTCAACTGAATTATGTATATCACATAAGTCTTCACATAAGTCTTCTAGTAGCTCAGTTGATACTGCTACATATATTTTGTCAAATATGAATACAACTAATAAAATAGAAACTATGGCTATTATAGAAGGAGCAAAACATAATACAATAGAAACTTTTCAAGATATAGAAAATACTAAAAAATTACAAATTACTGCTAATAACATGCATGAAAAGAATAATGAACATAAAAACAATAATGGTAATGACGAGCAATATTGCATATTGAATGAAACTCATAAAATGTTAAATCATGAATTACAACAGCAAAATATAGATATAGAAAAAAATATATCACAATTACAGAAAAATGTAGATGTTAATAATGATGATACATTTTTAGTTGATACGCATGATGAATTAATTAATAATAATTCAAATAAAAATTCTTGTATTGAACAAAATTTATCAAATGTGAAAATATTGCATATCGATCAAAATAATTTGACAAACAGTTTTGAATTGCAAAATAACACTACAAAAATAGGACATCGAAAAAAATTATACACTGGTAGAAATTCGCCAGTTGATCTTATTAACACGACAACAAATAATAAAAACACAATATTTCAGTCAAAACAAAATTTACATCCTGCATTAGATTTTGAATGTACATTATCAAAAAGATATAAAATTTGGAAAAAAAGGAAAAGTCAATTTTCTATATATAATAAATATCTTATGAATAATACACAATTTAATACTTTAAGCCATAAAAAACAAAGAAAAAGATCAAAATTAAAAGAAACATTAGTAAAAAATAATAAGACTGTTTATATAAATAACAATACTATTCAAAAGAATTCAAAAATAAATCAACAATCAATGAAATGTAATATTGATCAAAGTATAAATAGACTTCCATCAATTAATGACTTAACAAATATAAAAAACAAATTTAATGAATTAATCAATTATGAAGAAAAAACAAATGCAGAAGAATATAAAAGAACTAATGATAAAATAAATTTAAATCCAATAATTTATCTAACGCGATTATCTAAAGACGATATTGAAAAATATAGAGGTTCGAGAAAGACAATAGAAAACATTAATAATTCAATTCAATTATCAATTAATAATCAAAAGCATAAAAAATTGAATGAAACAATAAAATTAAAAAATTTAACTGTTTGTTTAACACGTTTATCAAAACTTGATATTGAAAAATATAAAAAATCAAAAAATGTATTACCAGAAATAATAAATTCAAATTTATATGTTTGTTTAGAACAATTACCAGAAATTAAAACTCAGAAATGTAAAAGTATTAAAAGAGTAAGTAATAAAGAATTAAGTAAAAATGATTTATTATCAGAATCTATCCAATCACAAAATGATAAAATAAATATTCATAAATTTTTTCAACGCAATGCATTAAACTATACTTATTCCAGTAATGATTCCGGTACTAATTCTTATAGTAATATTAATTTAATAACAGAAGATACCAATAGTGATCAAAGTACTGTTTTAATTTATAAATGTAGTAATACATCGTTTGATTTGTCTAGCTCTTCATCTTTATTGTCAGAAAACAGTTCTCAATTTGATTTTTCAAAAACTTTCAATAATTATATTTTAAAATCAAAAAGAAGATATAATAAAAAAGAAAAGAAATTAAATAATAAAGTATTTGATAGGAAAATAAATACAACAGAAGAAAGTATTAAAAATAAAATAGAAACAATAAGTGATAAAAATCAATCAAATTGTATTGCTGATAAAAATAAATGTAATATAAAAAATAAAAAACTTAGTAATATAAATGATTCTTGTAAGAATGATTCTTGTAAGAAAAGTTCAAATATAAATAAAAATATATTTTTAAATGAAAATGTATACCAGAACATAAACAATATAACTTTATCTTCCAATAAATCAGAAATAAGTTCTGAAAGTAGTAGCATATATACAAGTAATAAGAAGAAGAGACCACGTGTTGTATCCGATGAAGAAGATTTTGTACATTGTTTAAAAGATACACAAAAATTGAAATTAAAACATTATAAAATGTTAAATCAAAATTTAAATGATATGAATAAAAAAATAAAAACAAGAAAAAATGTAATAAAATATCCAAATTTAAATATTTCATTAAATGAACCAGAACTTCTGACTAAAAATATTAGTTCTAAAAAACAGGAAAAAGATGTTACCTCAATCAAGAGGCAAAAGTCTTTGCAACAAAACAATTTATCTGTAGAAAAAGACTGTAATCAAAGCACAATTAAAGCACAAACTGTAACTAAAGATCAAATAAAAAAATTATCTAAAGTTAATACTTCACAAATTGAAAAAAAATCTCATATAAGCCATTTACTTTTTAAGACAAAGATATTTAGTTCTGATTCGGATTCCGAATATTTGACAGAATGACATTGTTCATTTAATAATTTATTCTTAGATGACAAAAAAATAAATTACTAAAAAGTAATTCATACTATCATTATATTTTTTTATAAAATAATTGTATTTTGTTATTTGTCAAATTTTCAAAAAAATTTCTTCCATAATATAAAATGATGAACTTGTATTGCAATTGTTTATAAAATCAAATATTGTTGAGATATAATATAAGTAAATTAATATGCAATATAAATTTCATATATGGGGTGCATGTTAAGTTTTTTCTTAGACCTAAAAACGTAATTCTATGCCAAATCAGTCACTTTTTAAAAGATTTTTTTTAAAATTAAGATATTAAAATACAGATAATATATAAAAATTTATTTGTAAATATTTTAGATAAAAGATATGTCTCAATAATTTGTCTCAATGATCAATACAATACGATTAAAAATTTTGCATTTAAAAAGATAATTTAATTTTAAGTATATTAGAAAAAGATATTCATAAATTTATTATTTTCACATAATATTATAAAAAAATTACTGATTAAAAAATAAATTTTTTTACATAATAAGTAAAGTTGATAAATTTTCATCTCTATTTTTGACGAATATAATAGGCGAATAGGAAAATCTGATTGCAGTAATGTATAATATATAAAAAAATGATTGTTTTTTGTTAAAATAATAAGGGACATAATAAAGGACACAATTTATTGATTTATAAAGCTTATTGTTGCTTTATTAATTAAATATGAAAAAATATATTATATTGTTTTTGTTATAGATATCAAAAAATATGAAATAAATCTGAATTGACATTTGTATTACACAAAATAGTAATAAGTACAGGTTCAAATTTTACAAAAATTTTTGTTATCGAATTTACATTAAGCATGCATCAAATGGTGTAGAATTTTTTTTGTACATAACATGTCATAACTAAAAAGCTATTAAAAATGGAATTCTTGCTGCAAAGTCCCCAATTTATCATCGCATTAATTTTTTTAAATCAACAAAATAATGATTATATTTCTTCTAATTTCACGTAAATTACATTATATTTCACTTTAAAAAAAATCTTCAATTTGGATATAAAAAATGATTGTATATTTATAACATAGATTAATGCTGATTTTTTTTTCGATATTTTATCATGATTTATATTAAAATGTAATAATTTATATCTTTTTTTATTAATTAAAAAATAATTTTTTATCATAATATTAGTATATTTTATTATAATTTTTTTTTATAAGTTTAAGTTATAATATATATATATGTACAATATATATCTAAATTTTGAAAATATATATTATATCAATTTAAATTTTAAATTAAACCTTTAAATTGTTTAAATTAAAAGAGAGAGAAAGAGAGAAAGAAAGTACTGTTTGTGTCAAATTAGAAATAAAAAAGATGAGATATAAAGTAATATATTTAACGAAAGGAATAATATAAAAATATCTTAAAGAACGTAAAAAAAAAAAAAACAAGAATATGAAAATAGTAATACCATTAAATATAAATATAATATAAAAACATAAGTGAAAATTTACATAAATTTTATTGGAAAAGTAATAAAATATTTTAAGATATATCATATTGATCGAAATATAAAATTTATAATTCTTTTTATGCATTTTTTCTGAATTTATATATGTAATTATACATAATTTTTTTAAAATTTTATTTGTAGCTTATTATTTTTGCTGTTTATCGTTATTATTTTTTTAATCTTAATCTTTATTTTCTTAATTATAAATAGTTTTAAATATTTAATTCAAATATTTTTTAATGTAATTTTTTATATTGTTAATTATGATATTTTTTTATAATTCATATATATATATATATATATATATATATTATTTATGGTACATAATAAAAAAATCGTATTTGATTAAATCTATTTTTAATTTTTATTTTAAAATTTTATTTTTTGTTTTATAATAATTTATTGATATCTATGGATAATTTTTTTTACATACATATATGTTTTTATTATTTTTTGATTTTTTTTTATTTTTCTTAAATAAAATTATCGAATTGCCACACCCAATATATGTTGTTTTGAAAGAATTAAATGAAAAAATTGAGATACGTAACCTTCAAGAGTAAATGTATTCCATGTAATCTGATCAAAGCCAGCATTTTTAATATGTATAATAGGATCAACATTTAAATGGCAACCACCAAAAAATAATGGCCATATTTTTGTTTGTGTTAATATTTTTTGTAACCATCGTATAAAAATTCCTTCATTCTCAGGTATATGCTCTATGAATAAATATTGACCACCCTGTAACAAATCACTGGAGAGATTAGATTATTTTCAATTTATAATTAATTTATAAATTAAATTAATTAAATTATATAAGTATACTTTGTGTGTAATTTCAAATATAAAAGTTTGCAAAGATTACTTTAAACTATCTTCTTACATATGTAGATTAAATAAGATAAAATTAAACTAATAATATTTTTATTATATTACTGTACCCAAGTGTATAATTCTGTTATATATTAATATATTCAAAATTCAAGATTAATTATAAATTGTTTAATAATTTTATATTATTCTTGTATAATATATTAACTTTCTTATAATTCTATATTAGCTAGTATTACTAATATACTCTATATAAATTAGTATAAGCTATTTTATATTAATATAATATAGATGTAATAGATGTTAATTATCTTACCGGTGCCAATACTCTGTGGATTTCTCGAAGCGTTGATTGCAACGATGTTACTGAACATAACGATCTTGTGGTTACAACTACGTCTATATATCCAGTAGGTACTTCTTTCAAAGAACTACCATCTCCGATTATTAGATGTTCAATAATGATATGAGAAAATTGCCACGAACGATTACTTTTTATTAAATATTCAGCTAATCTCAGATTTCGATCAACACCAATTAAGTGTGTATTTTCTGGATAAAATTGTATATTTTCACCTGAAAGATTTAAATTTGATCTATGTATTTACGTATAAATATGTAGAATTATAATTTTTATCTAATTCGTAATATACATATAAATATGATACATTAATTTTGTAGAAGTAACATAAAATAATTTCATCTCATTTAACGTTATTTCTTTGATTGATTCAAATCAAAAGACAAATATTTTTGTATTTATTGTACTCTCAATGTCTTCCTTAAAAATTTAAAAGTTTATATCGTATAATAAAGTTAATTTTTTATATATTTTAAAAATTTAAACTATACAAAAATAAGAAAAGAAATAACTATTTCGAGAAGACGTTGCTACGTCTATTTCTGTTATCAATATACATACATGGAATGCACACCCGTTTTAACGCCAATCTCAAGGAGACGTATGCGGTTCATGGATTGTAACACTCTGTCACTCGAAACAACGTGTTGTAGTGATTTGAATAAATGTTTTTTGTAAGGTGTCATGAGTTCTGCACACTCCACTTCAAATCCCGTTAAATAAGCTTTGTAAATACGTTTTTGCCAATTCAACCATTTTCGCGATATTAAAATTCCGATAAGAATGATAATAAGCGATAACAATCCATAATTCGTAATTACATCGCGAATCCATAAATCGTTATTGCTCATTTTTCTTTATGAAAATTCTTAAAATTTTTTTTAATCTATTATTTTTGTGAACAACTAATGAATGAATCCAATATCACTTTTTTCCCCCCCTTTAATTATTAGCTTCGTATTCATTTAAAAAAAAAATCGTAATTGTGTCTTGTAAATAAGTATACTTCAAAATGACGAATGTTCACATTGAAATGAAATAAATCTGGTTGTAATCATTCGTGATAAGATAAGTATTAGAACTACATTTTTCTGAACGAATAATATTACGTCGAAATAAGTACTATTTTTAAAAAACACGAGTAAACATTTATTAAATTTTACATCAATTAAGATTTTTAATTCTATTAAAAAATCATCGTATAAATTATTTTAAAACTCAATAATGATAGTTGGATAAATTTGAAAATGGGGTATTGACCATATGGTTTAAAAGAAAAAGAAGAAAAAAAAAATAAATAAATATAAGAGAAAGGAGAGAAAGAAAAAGAAAGAAAATGTTTTACGGAAGAAAACACGATTCGGCCGGTACATAGAGGAAGAGAGAAAACAATGGTCTCACGTTTTCGAAATGCGAGAAAGAGCGTACAAGTTAACAAAGGGGAAACAGCCAGCGGGCAAAAAGAAAAACGCTCGAAACGAACATATCGGCGCAAGGGGAGCCATGATTCTTTGTCACTCGAGTTTTTAAGAGTGACCACAAACAAAACGGAGTTCGATCAATTTGGTCCCTCGGCCGAGTGCGTGCATTCGTTTGCCTCTTGCTCGTGCTCTTACGCGTATATACACGAGCCATACATCCATATTTTCGTTTCACATGCACGAAACTCGAAATTTGTTCGATTCAGAAGCATTTCGCAGTTCCAGAGAGGCGTTTTGTTGTTAGCATTGGGGCGGAGAGGAGGCCGACCGTTTTCGTAATGGCTCGTTGATTCGAGAGAATCGTCATAAAAAAATCATACAATTTTCTTTCTTCATTCTTAGTTGTTTTTATTCCCTATTTTCTATTTTCTACGTACTCGTCGTATTTTGCATTTTGTTTCTAGATGTGTTTCTCGTTTCTTTTTTTTTTTTTTTAAGTTATATTTTATATTTAATTTCCATAAATCTGTTGTTTTTTATATTATTTGAATTTCATATATATATTCTATCTCTTGAAAGTTTAAAAATTCGTTTAATACGAATTCATGATTCATGAAAGAAAGAATGAAAATAAAAAATGATCTAGTATTATATAATATTTTTTGATCTTTGAAAATATAAATATTTACAAGATATATGTTTTATACGTTAAGATTAAAAAGAAAATTGAATAAATTTTGCGTTATTATTAGAGTGCATTACTATCTGTCGATAATATTGTGACCTATAAAAATGCGCGAAAATATCATTTGCCCCTGAAAATAGGCAACCAACGTGCTCTTCATTGGTATAATTAAACTACATACGTATAAAAGTTATATCAAAGAGACAAAGATTTGTATTCATCTTATTCTTTTTTAAAGGAATACAATATTTAATTTATGAATATAAATATTGTAATAGAAAATTATTTTTATTTTAGAGATACCATTTTTTATTTTATAAAATTTATCTTTTCACATCGATGTTCGATTCGTTGTCTTCTATTCCATTGTAAAGTTTCGATATTTTTGTCTTCCCATTCTTTTCATCCCGCTTTCTGTCATTCGAGAATGCCCGAAGGCTCGTCAGCAAATTTAAGTTGGACACGTACAAGCACGTGAACAGTTCTTCGAGTACTTCGACGGCTTATTGGTGAGCACGAAGCGAGCGACCCACCTATCTGTTTGATCTTTCAAGAGTGAAAAATATTTAAATGCTGTCGTTGCTGTTTTATATTTTACGCACTTGTGCGCGTAACCGTACCTCTTGTGACTTTCCTTTCGCAAACAAGACGAGTATTTGATAAACTACCTGTCGATGACTATCATGCAAATTGTACACGATTATTATTATGCGACACTCTTTTTGCCACTACTTTCGTCTATTTAAAACTTTCTATCGAGTAAAAGCTATTTATTTATAATCTTAATAAATAATTTTAATAATAAAGAGACGTTTGAACAAATCTGAAGATAGAAAATTTAAATAAAAATATATTACGAAACGCGTCAAAGAGAGAAAAATGAAAGGATTAAAAAAATTCTGCGTTTAAGATTATTTCGTTTATTCGTTTATTGGTAATAATTTAATCTAGCCGTGAAAATAAATATTTGTTGAAAAAATTATTTGGGCCAAGGAAAATTATTTTTCTTCGAACGAACGAGCCGAGCGGGGAACTATCTTAAGTATTTTTTACCTCGTGTACAACAAACTACTTACAATATATTCTCGATGAAGGAGGGATTCAATTTCAGCGAAACACGATGCTGCATACAAGACTCACTTGAGAAGAAGCTCTTTTTTTCAAGTGTCGCTACGGCAGCGAAGTCGACGGCATTGTCTCCATTGTTGGCGAATCGTAATCAATATTTTCACAATATGGCGCTATTGTGGCTAGTACGAGCGAGGTGCACAAGCTCCGCCAAGCTTTTATTCTCGCCATCGTACCACAGATCATTGTTACAACAAATACGCGAAAGTAAAACGTGAAATAAAGTATTTACGAAACGAGGCATTCGTCCTATTTTTTCTTTTTCTTTCTTTCCATTTTTTTCATTCTTTTTTTTCTTTTTTCTTTTCTTTTTTTCTTTTTTCTTTTTTTTTTTTTTTTGTCTATTTTGTATCAGCTCAATTAACGAAACATTAGCGTGGCAAAGGAAAGAAACGCGAAAGAAAAGAAAAAGGCTGATTTTACAGCGAAGAAAAGGTCTTCGCCTCAAGGTAGTCGTGAAGGGTCGAAATATCGGAGCTATATTTCATGCAAGCCGAGTGTCGCGTGGTAACGTTTGTTGCGTTAACGCATAATACCTGTACCTAAGTCATAAACTAATAAATACATTAACTTAAGATCGACAATGCGTCCAAACATCAAACAAATCGTAAACGATCACAATGCATGAAGGAAATTCGAGATCGGTTAAAAGAATACCGTGAAAGGACAGGTCGTGATCTTGATTTACGACAAGTACTTATTTTCGAGGTTATGGCCACACGCTGACACGAGGACCTTCTCTTCCAGGATCCTCTCTTCCTCTTCGATTCTACATCCCAACTTCGATTTCACTTCCCCCTCCTCCATCCCCCTCCCCCACCCCATTACTTCCCCATATTTTCTTTCCCAATACATTTTGCTTTACAGACGCAAACTCTAGTTAAATCTCTTAAACACTATTTTAATTATTTTCATTTCACAGTCGAGCCAAAGTCAAAGCCGGCGCACAAGGCGATCCATCCTCGTAACTCGTCCATAAAATTCTTCATGCCATAAAAAAAAAAAGGAAAAAAAAAAGGGGACCGTCGTGTCTGCTTACGGGAACGATGTACATACAGAACGATGATTACAAAAAAGAAAGTAAACCGATATCGGAGTTGACGATAACGTTCCGCGCAAATAACCGTTAATTTCGACAGTTACACGTTAATTTACAAACGTTTTAAACGTGCTAGACGCGCCCACCCTCTACGTTGCTACGTCTGCTTCACGTGACCGGGTTGGGACGGGGAACAGAGAGAAGCTCTTCCCTGTTTCCCAAACGTGGGCAGAGATATTTCGTAAAGGAAATATTTATCGGGAACGTTGAGAAGCGAAGAAGAGAACGAAGTGGGTTTCGAAGTAAGAGATCACCCGAAAGAAACACGGGGGTTCCTTTCCCCGAAAGATCGGTGTCGGCAAAGGAGAGCGGCAGAAGTTGGAAGCACGAAAGAGGGCCCCGGTCGGCGTTCTCTCTGTAGTTCGATCGTGGGCGGAGCGTCGCGGTGCTCGGCGTTGTGTGTGAACCAGAAATTGTCAATGGACGGTATTGTTGGGATGCCGGTGCGTGGCGGGAAATAATAAATGGCCGAACTTCCATGCCACGGCCCCGTAAAAACCTACGATATCGAGGGGCAACACCCTCTTCTCTTTTTTCCCTCTTCTCTTCTTTTCCTCTCTGTCCCCCTCCTCCTCCTCCTCTTCTTCCCTCCCCCTCGACACCGTTAATGCGCAAAATCTTTGCACCGACGTGAACCTCCCCTCCCTCGCCACCTCTTCTCGATCAAAATGGAACCTTCGAAAGGGGATGGCCGATCTCCTCTATCAAGTTCAACCCTTAAACGCGTCTATCGCGTTTCCTGTCCTCCCGACCACCACCACGCTCACCGGATCCTTTGAACTTTACCGAAATCCGCTTCGGTAATTTCGATCCGGACAATTTTTCTCCGGATTGATTCTTGATCTCGTTCAATATTTCTTTTTTTTTTTTAAATTATCATTCGTTATTTATTATTCATTTTATTCATTTCATACAATAGAAATTTATATAATATAAGAGGAGAAAAATTCAATCACGTCGAAACGATCGCGTTGCGCACATATCAGTTAACTTATACGCAAATTGCGTATACACGGTTCGTGAACATTTGCTTGTTGGACGTTCGGGCTCGTAACAGAAGTGTGTCGACGATCATTAGTATTTGCCAAGGGCCAAAGATCGTAAGCGGAAATTCGCGTCATGATAGGGCATTAGTGTTTTACGACATTCCATTATCCGTGTCGTCACGGATGCCAGTCAAAATCCGTTTCTATCTGTAGCAGCTTGAGCGCGCGAATGTTTCGCTCTTAGGGGCATACGACTTTGGGGGGAGGAGGGGGAGGGACGCGTCTTTGTCGTTTACCGAGATGACTATTGATCCAGGCCATCATTGTTCCCCGAACATCCGAAAGGGATCGGCAGGAAACTGCATTGCTTCCACGCGGCGGTCTTCCTTTTTCGCCGTGTCTCCGTAGATCCGGGATATTTAACCGTGACGCAATGAACATCAGTAATTTACAACCTGTATTCTTCCACACCCTGTCCTCTCCTCGACAATCTCGCCTCCCCTTAATTTTTTTCCCCGTTCTTTCCTCCTAGTCGCGCGTCAATACGAGTATAAAATTTAAACGGAGTATCGTTCGATAATAAAATATCATAAACGTTAATGGTAATTTTTTTA